ATGGAAAAAGCATGATTTTTCTATAAATTTGTGATGGACACAGGATAGTAACATTTGGTGTCTCAGCTACAAATTTATGTCCTGAATATTGGTGCACAGTCAAATTACCGTCATCATCTTCCATGGTATCATATTTCTTGCCTTCACAGAAGGTTAAGTAAACGCTACCAATTGGTACACAATAAAATGCCATGAGCTCAATAACTGTTTCTACATTGGAAACATCATTAATAATAACATGTTCTCCAACTCTATACAGCACACCACCACTCCCGTGCAAGGGTTTAAGAAGAGATTTGAATTTGAAAGCCATTTCTTGGACATCCTGAACATTAACACCATCAAAGCAATCTTCTATCTGTAGTTTTTGTTCCCTTAACAAAGTACACTCATTGCTAGACATCCCACCAACTAATACTCCTTTGTTACACCGGTTCACTTGTGAAATATGAGACTCACTTACTATTTTGATTAGATCATATGCAGCTTCAAGGTTCTTTGCACACATCTAATGTAGAGATAAAACTTAATTCAAACATAACTTGTAAACAAAATACAGACATGCTGAACATAGACACTACAAAAACACAATACAGCAGCTGTCTCTTATTCACAATGAAGTATATTATATATAAATTAAACTGAAGAAATCCTGTCTTTTAAAGGGCCCCATTTTTTGAAGTGGTCTTTATTTTATTTTTTTTATTGAATGGCACTATTCTAGTGCTTTGTAATTTGATAAAAGAATTTGGTCAAAGACAGTTTTCTATAGCCAGTTTTCTTGCTGTGCTCGTTCCACATTAGTTTTGATCATTTTTATTGTTGATTATAGTACAGACCCATAAAAAAAACTGCCTTCAATTTGTTAAATTTTTACTAGAGGTTCATAAACAACACAATAAGCATAAAGAAAAACTACAAACCTTATCAACATCTATTATCAAGGGTTTGCGCCTACTGTCTTGGAGGAGAAAACTGGTATTTAAGAGCTTCATTAATTCTCTTCTCTTTTCCATTTTGGCATAGGTACATTCAATGTTCTTGAAATTAGTAGAGGTATTGACATATCTATTTACAGCCCTTTCAAATGAGAAGCACCAGTAGTTATCAGGATGGGAAAACCTCATTGCATCCTCTTTGACATGAAAAAGGTTGTGCACAGTAATTTTACAAAATTGTAATCCATAAGTTTCTTCCATCAGTATTGCATAACGCTGAGCAAGGTTGTGAAAGAGATCAACTTCAGTGATATCCCATCCTTCCCGCATGCTCTGGCTAAATACCAGTTCTACCATTCTTGTTACAAGCTGCCAGATATGATAATCAAGTCCATCTAATTGTCCAGCAAGAATGCACTCAGATACAGGATAGGCAAACTTTTGATATTCTTCTGCCTTCCAGAATCCAAGCCGAGAAGCAATTCCTTGAGGAATTC